CCCTGCAGGGCCCCCAGGGAGGGAGGAGGGATGGTGAGAAGGCTTCTTGTGGTTGTCACGTGGACTGATATTTACCAGTCAGGACCAGAGGTGCTTCATGTTCTACAGCGAGTAGGATGGGCCTCGCCAGTGTTTTACAGGAAGGAAACCAGCACGTCACGTTTGGAAATATTTCCCCCAATTTTTTACTTTCCTAATTTCCCTTTGGAAAATAGAAATAATGCATTCTTTCATAAGATCAAATCTGTTTGTCTCCATCATTTATTTCTTTATTATTTGTTGTTCAATCACTAATAAGTCGTGCAGTCCCAAGGACCACAGCACACCAGGCTGCCCTGCCCTCCACTATCTTCTAGAGTTTGCTCAAGTTCATGTCCACTGAGTTGGTAATGCTATCTAATTGTCTTATCTCCTGCACAGCTCCTTCTTTTGCCTTCAGTTTTTCCCAGAGTCAGATCTTTTACAGTGAGTCAGCTCTTCACATCAGGTGGCCAAAGTATTGGAGCTTTGGCTTGAGCAACAGTCCTTCCAATGAATATTCAGGGTTGATTTCCTTTAGGATTGACTGGTTTGATATCCTTGCAGTCCAAGGGACTCTTAAGTCTTGAATGCTCTTTTGAAGAGTTACTTTTACAGGTCTGAATTTGTCATAGAAAACTTGGAAAATGAGAAAATTAAAACAAAAATCGTCTATGACTTTCACTTAGAAATAGGCTCTAAATATTTTCACATATTTTCTTCTATTTTATTTTACTTTGAAGACATGTCTTTCTTTAAATTGGAAACTAATATGTGGACATATTCTTGTTGCAAAAAATCAAACATTATGGTTAAAGACCCTCATTGACTTCCATCCTTACTCCAGTACCCCTGCAGTAAGTACCCCTACTTACTGTTTGAAGTTTGGTATTTATCTTAAGACCTTTCTTTCTGTGGAAGCAGAATATTATTTTAGGGTATTAAAAAAAATACTTGAATGCAGCTTTGTTTTTTCTTTTCACCTAAACCGGTGTTTTGGATAGTGTGCATAAAGACTTTTTAAACTGTTTTATGGTATTAAATAGCATGTATATACCACAATTTACTCAGATGTTATCTCATTTGGGGACATTTTGGGTGTTTGCTTTTAATTATTGTTATTGCATTGTTGCAGAAAAGCATTCTCACACATGCCTATTCTTTCTTGTATGTTTATTGATTTATTAAATATTGGTTTCCTGCCATAATCAAGTACTGTTTGAGTTACTTCAGAATTAAGAGGGGAGCAAAACTGAAAAGGTCTCTCATATCGTGAAGCTTATATTTTAGTAAGAGGAAAATATATAAAAACTTGAAATATCAAGTAGCAATAAATGCTAGAAAGAAAAGTAGAACAGAATAAGGGAATATAAAGTGCTGGAGGATTAGGGCCTGCTTCTGTGAATGTAATGGCAAAGAATTATTTCCATGAGAGGGTGATACTTGAGCACTAACTTAAGTGGAGACATGAACCATGTGAAGATCTGGGGTTAGAGCATTCCTCAGAGGGCATAGTAAATGTAAAAGACTTGACAAAGGATAGGCCTTGGCTGTTTGGTCTTCCCAGGTGGTGCACTGGTAAAGATTCCACCTGCTGATTCAGGAGATGTGGATTCGATTCAGGAGATGTGTATTTGATCCCTAGGTTGGGAAGATCCCGTGGAGAAGGGAATGGCTACTGGAGTGGCCAGTATTCTTGCCTGGGAGATCCCATGGACAGAGGAGCCTGGTGGGCTACTGTCCATGGGATTGCAAAGAGCATGACTGAGCATGCACGCACACGCTTTTGAAGAACAGCAGGCTCTCCAGTGTGGCTGCAGCCAGCGTGGTAATGTCCCATAAAGTTGTAGAGATTAACCTGAGCTGAAGTGTTTAGGACCATGCTGTCCAGTACAGGAGCCACCAGCCATATGTGGTTATAGAACATTTGAAATGTGGCATAAACACTGATTTCTGGAAATTCCCTGGCAGTCCAGTGTTTAGAACCTGACTCTTCTGCTGCAGTGGCCCAGGTTTGACTCCTGGTCATGGAACAAAGATCCCACAGGGCCTCACAGTAAGGCAAAAAAAAAAAAAAAAAAACCCGCTTGATTTCCACGACTTGTAAGACTTGGTAACATGGCAAATCATTCCATTATTCTTGCCTGGAAAATCCCGTGGACAGAGGAGCCTGGCAAGCTACAGTTCATAGGAGTTGCACAGAGTCAGATATGGCTGAATCAACTTAGCACAGGATAGTAACAGAAAGAGAATGTGAATTATCATTAATAGCATGTTATGTTGATTATATGTTGAAATAATATTTTGGACATATTGAGTTCAATAAAATTTATGTTTTATTCACTGGTAGTAGCTGGGTTGGACAGTGGTGTTTACTGTTTTGAGAGAATCAGGGGTAGAGAAATAAGAATTTTATTTTTAAAATGATATTTTATCTATTTTTGGCTGTGCTGGGTCTTCCCTGCTGCTTGGGCTTTTCTCTGGTTGTGGCAAATGCGGGGCTACTCCTAGCTGTGGTGCACGGGCTTCTTGCAGTGGCTCCTCTTAGGGGCGTGCTGGCTCCAGGGCGCGCAAGCTGAGCGGTCGCAGCTCCCGGGCTCTCGAGCGCAGGCTCAGTACTTGTGGTGCACGGGCTTAGTGCTGTGCAGCGGGTAGGATCTTTCTGGACTGGGGATGGAACTCGTGTCTCCTGCATTGGAGGAGACAGCAGGAGCCCCAAGAATTTTGTTTTAGATAAAGTTTTAACAAAGTTTTACTTTGTTTTAACAAAGTAAATTTAGTGTAACATAACATACCAGAAACTACACAAATTCTAAGTGGAGTTTAATGTTTTCCCAAAGTAAGCTTACCCATGTAAGCAGCACTTAAACAACAGGAAAAAAAAAAAAAAACAGAGCAAACTGCTATCCTAGTAGCTTCCACTTATACTTCTAACTCCATAAATTAGTGATAGCATTTATTGCAATTTCAAAGTCTCAGAATTATAGGATTGTTTACAGTATGCCTTAGAATTGAGACACTTGGAAAATAATCAGATATTTTGTCTAAAAGGTTAAGGGTATTAGGAATTACTTTCTAAGCTTTCATAACATTTACCTGTTTTTCAAATTAGGAGTTCTTAAGAACACGGTAAGGAAATCAACTGTAATTGTAAACAATTTGGTATGTTTTGGGCACTGCTATCTATACTATACTCCTTTTCTGAGAATGGAAATCTTTGGGATATTGTGGCTAAACAGCTAACTTTAGAAGTTTTTTGAGGAGGGAAATAATTAAATCTCTAAATTTCCTCTTTTTTTTCTGCCTCCAAATGTAGAGAATTTAAAAAGGCCTGCACAAGTTATTTAGAAGATAAAAGATTAAAAAAAAAGATACAAGATAATCAGGTACTAAGTATCAATAATAATTTAATATTTTTCTTTAAGATAAGATAGTTTCCTCAGATTTATGGATCCAGTGTATTCTCAACTTCAGATGTGCATCCATTGAAATTTTATACAAATAAAAATGCAACAAACTTAGCAAGCTATTAAAATTAATAAGTTTTGTTTTGTTTTATTGTTTTCAAGAAGTCTGTGTCTGTAATTTTCCTAGAGGATTGAAAGGCCTCTTTTTGTTTCATATGAAACAAATTTTAGTTTGTTTAGTTAGTATATATATTGTATCTTTTAGAAATAAAAAATGGAGGAGGTTGCGGAAAAAGTAGTTTGTACCCCACCCCCCTTTCCATTCAATAATGAATAAATACATTGGATTTATATCTTTCAAATTGGTGATTTGGGCAAAGTCTTCCATGCTTTTGTTGTTGACTGTTCTTGCCTGTCGTTGTGGTATGTGTAAAATTGATAAGGAATGGTGGTAGATAATATGTACCTATATGTTTAATAAAATTTTGTAAAACTAAATAAACACACAAATGAGTACGGGTAAAACTGGGGAAATGTGGATCATGTCAGCATTGTTATGCTTTTTACCCTTTGGCTGTGCTATTATACTACAGTTTTGTAAAATGTTACCGTTGGGGGAGCATATATCCCTGTGTATTATTTCCTATAACTCTGTGAATCTATAAAAATTTCACTAGATTGAAAATATCTTTCATTGCTTACTGAGATTACTGAGCTATTAGCTTAAGAGATAATTTTCGCAAAAACATAAACATTTCAGTTAGTCTCTGTTTTGAACAGATGAACAGATTTTTATAGTTCATTGTTTTGAATGCTGTTTACACTAAGTACCTTTGTTTCTTTTGCTTTTCACTTTACCCTGTCATTCACCAGGTATTACACTTTGGAGGAAGTACTTAAATGCTTATGAAAACAATGTCTTAACTAGTAGCTATCTGCTCTGTAGATAAAACTTACATAGAGCATCTCACTTATTGATGTTTTTATATACATTAGATAGATCAGTATAGGCTGCTGTTCATGATCAAAAAATAATTTCATATGTAAAATGTAATGTATTTTTACTCATAATGTTAATCTACCATATATATAACTATTGTTAAAGTAGCTCGCTTTCTTTTTTCCTTGAATTATTTTTAGGAATTTGAATGTTTTTCTTTTTAAAACTCCACTATTTTAATCAAAATTTATTTTTGTTTTCTAGGAGCAAAAAGATTGGATCAGTTTGTCCTTGATTTTTCCCTATTTAAAGGTAACCTGTCTCTAGTTCACTAAATCATACAGACTTAATACAATTTTCTGTTTGAGGTGACAGTCTATATTTGGTTTTTAAAATAGCAGTTGTATTATATAATGGCTAAACCTTTTATGTCTTTTCTGTAAGATGTGGTCTAATCTTTCGAAGAAAATAATCATGTAATTTATGTCATGGAAGTAAATATTAAAATCAGACTGCATTTCTTGTTATGTTCCACAGAGTTTTGTTTTGTTTTCTCTTCAGAAATTTATGAAAAATCTTTGCTGTTTTAGTGTGTTTGCCTGAAACTATTTTACTCAGATTGAAGTATTGACGCCATGGGAATAAAGGTTCAGCGTCCTAGATGTTTTTTTGACATCGCCATTAATAATCAACCTGGTAAGGAAATTAATGTCCCTATTTAACATTTATATATGAATATTTAATATTTTAAATTATCTTTACCTGAAGAAATATAAACCAGCTACCTTCTTTTTCAGCTGGAAGAGTTGTCTTTGAATTATTTTCTGATGTGTGCCCCAAAACCTGTGAGAACTTTCGATGTCTTTGTACAGGTTTGTTGACATTTTCACTCACCCTTATAGTTTTAATTTAACACATTTTAGATTTTTTCTTACATTCTTTCTCAGCATGCTGATTATGCAGCATTGACTAGACATGAAAGTAATTCTTAGACATATTAATTGTAATAGGATTGTATCAGAGATTGATTTTTCCACTCATTAGAAAAGCATGGGTGCTTCTTAAATGAATTTTTAAAAGAATTCCTGAGAGGAGTGAATATTCTGTAGCTTAGAGAAGTCTTTATAGATCAAGAGAAATAATTTTTTATTTATTCTTTTTATTTAAATTTTTCTTTCAGTTTTATTGAGATGTAATTGGTATATGTCACTGTACGAATTCAGGTGTGCAGCATAATGGTTTGATTTACGTACATCATAAAGTGGTTATCACAATAAATTTAGTTAGCGTTCATCATCTCCTATAGACACAAAATTAAAGAAGTGTGGAAAAAATTTTTTCCTGTGATTTCATCATTAGTATTACTTTAATACTATTTCCTTAATTTCTTTTCTACTTAATGACGTACTGATTTTTCTTCTCTTTAGGTGAAAAGGGGACAGGGAAATCAACTCAGAAGCCATTACATTATAAAAGTTGTCTCTTTCATCGAGTTGTTAAAGATTTTATGGTTCAAGGTGGTGACTTCAGTGAAGGTAAGACTTCAATTCTTAAAAAACAAAATCAAATATTCTTTGTTTATAAATTTATATTCTTTTATGTACATGGATCTGAAAGTTAGACAAGTCTCTGGAAGTACTGGTCCAATTTTCTTCTGAACCCACTTAATCTTTTGGTCAAACAAAAGTACTGGAAATTCCTTGGTGGTCCAGTGGTTGGGATACGGAGCTTTCACTGCTGAGGACCCAGGTTCAGTTCCTGGTTGGGGAACTGAGATTCTGAAAGCTGCCTGGTATGGCCAAAATTAAAAATTAGAACAACTCATAGAAATAGACATAAAGGAGGAAACACATAGGAAAAATTTCATCTTTGGTGCATGAATTAATTTCAGAAATTTGCTTTTGGATAAAAAAAACATTGGCTTCCCTGGTGGCTCAGTGGTAAAGAAGCACCTGCCAAAGAGGGGGATGCGGGTCCTATTCCTAGGTCAGGAAGATCCCCTGGAGAAGGAAGTGGCACCCCACTCCACTGTTCTTGCCTGGAGAATCCCATGGCCAGAGGAGCCTGGCAGACTACAGTCCCTGGGGTTACACAGGAGTCAGACACGACTTAGCAACTAAACAACAACAACAACAAACCCACTATATATCTCCTAGTAGCCTGTCTGTGTTCATGATTGATTTTGTCACATCCAGTTATCTTTTACTACAGTATAGTTTTTACCTCCTTTCTTTTTGTAAAAACACTTTGAAAGCTACTAGTAATTTCTGTTAAAGGACCTACACAATCATTAGAATCTGAACAGTCTTTTTTCTACAGTTGTTAATAGGCTTTGTCACACTAATATTTTTGTATCAGAGCGGAGAAAAAGTAATTTGGGATCTTGTCAGTATTATCTTTTATGATTTGCTGTGAGTGAACCTTTGAGTATTGTTGCTATAAAGTCATTGAGGTACCTACTTTGTAAGAAGCATTTTATTTAGGAATGCTTCAAGGAAATTACTGACCTAACAGTTCTAAGGGTCCATGCTTTTCATTCTTAGGAAATGGACGAGGAGGAGAATCCATTTATGGAGGATTTTTTGAAGGTAAAAATGTTTATGTTTAAACTAAACATTTTAATGTTTACTTTTAAATTAAAAGCTTGATCTTAATCTTTATTAAAAGAGAGATTCAGCTGTATTTCTTAGTGATAATACCAACATTTTTGTGTGTCCATTTTTCTATGAAGATTTTAAAAAAAATCTTTGATATTCTAAATTTGGCTGTAATGTTTTCCCCAAATTTAAGTTTTCTCTGTGGAATTTCTATTAATGTGAAGATCATTTGAAAAACTCTAAACATGTGGTTGTAGAATTAATTTCATATTACCCATCTTTAACTTTTGGGAGTCAGTGAAATTTCACGTTCTACGTGCTTTTTTCTTGTTCTAATACAAGATTGGAAGACAATCTGCAATTTCTTTGCAATAAGCTGTTTTCTCTATCAATAGCAGAAATTAAGTTAATGAGTGCCTCTGTGTGCTAAAAATAATATTGAAGAGAGATTGATATAGTATTTGGATTTTATAGCAGATGATTGAAAATTAAAAATATTTTAATATGAAAAGATACGGGAGGGAATTGGTTAATATTAGATTTCTCTTACCCTGACTTTTTAATCTAAATTTTGCTTGGCTCTAAAGATCACATGATAGGAACCCAAGATATATAGAGGAGTGAAAATGAATTTTGAGGGGGAAATTATGCCTATAATGTAACTGAAACTTTGCTTCTCTACAGATGAGAGTTTTGCTGTTAAACACAATAAAGAGTTTCTCTTGTCAATGGCCAACAGAGGGAAGGATACAAATGGCTCACAGTTCTTCATGTAAGAATTTATGATCTGACTTAAAATATCCCTTTTTTGGTGTGTCATTTTTCTGGATTCCTGCTACTGATCACTAATAAGAGAGGGACTTATAAGGGGGAGAATTTTTAAAGGTGGAAGAACAAAGAATTTCGCAATACAGCTGACCTCCCTTTTTGCTGAAAGGGGAGGTCAGCTGTACTGCTAAAGTTTTCAAATGATGAAAACTTGTGTCAAGAGGACACAGGAGCCAACTTGAAGAGTTTCCAATCATCTTAGTAGTAATTGATCCAGGAAAAAATTATCTATGGAGGATAAATTAAGGAACAGAATATTTGCAGCGAGCATCTCTTTATAAATTACTTAATTAGAAAAGAGTAAAAATACAGGTTCCTCATTTTTCAAAGATTCTTTATTTGTGAATTTGCCAACTCACTAGGTTTATTTGTAATCCAAAGTCAATACTACTAATGTTTTCCAATTCTGACAATAAAAAAATTGTTACCAGGGCTCATGTCAGCAATTCATGTTTTTTATCATGGTCCATGGGTAAAAATTTGCTCTGCTCTTCAGTAACATAAACTCTTTTGGTCTCAGAAGAATTTAATCTGTCAGCACCATATGGATTATTTATGTGTTTTCTATTTCATATTTGTAACTCCCTTCTTCAACCATGAGAAATCTCTCTTCCATTATGTTAAAAAATTTCTACCCATTTATTGAATCCTAGATTTAAAAATTGCCACCCTATAACACTGGGCAAAATAACATACTAACTAGAGTTCACTGTTTTTAGCAGTTTTTGTTTTTAGAGTGAGGGTATGTAGTTATTGCATTTAAAAGTGACTTCTGTTAGTACTTTTTAGTATAAATTTTGTGTGGTTTTATGACTCAAAATATGTTATATTCATTTGTTTCTGATTATATTTCATTTGTTTTTCCTGCCAGATTGTTTTTTGTCCCTTTTTTTAAAACTTTTAAAACATTGACATGATTCTAAGAGTCAAAGCAGAGAGAATACCATTGAATTATCACTCCCACCTAACTCTTCATTCCATTTCCATTCCCCCATTTTTTCACCCCTTTTTACACCACCTGTCCATATTAGTAACCAACCTCATTAGTTTCTGGCTTATTTTTCTGTATTTCTTTTTACAAACATCAGCACAGATATACACTTTTTCTTATTTTCCATTTTTTCTTATACAATAGATAACATACTGTACATGATGTTTTTCTGTCTTCACTTAATGATATATCCCAGAAATCATTTCATATCAGTTCATAGAAATCTTTTTCATTTTTTTCACAAATGCATAGTACTCTATTGTGTGTGTGTATACTGTAATTATTCAGCCAATTACCTATGTATGGATGTTCCTGATTTTTTAAACAGAAACAACTTATATCACATTTGTTAAAATACACAGATAAAAAGAAGAAAAACAATCCTCTCCCCAAGAGCATCTTTTCATGGAATAAAAATATAGAGTTGCATATACTCTGTAATCAACTTTTGGATGTAATATATATCTGTTTGTATGTTACTAAATATGAATTAGTAACATTTTAATAGTACATGTTAATCCATTGTTTGAATGTTCTATGGTTTTATTTATTTAATCTCAGTTTTGCACATTTGGTTGCTTCTTGTTTTCAAACTGCTCCAGTGAACACTGTTGTGCCTATTGTTTGATGCATTTTTAAATTCTTCTTCTATGTGACTGGCAGTTTACTTAGTCAAGTATTTATACATGTTTAAGGCTTTACATATATATTGCTGCCTTGACTTCCAAAAGGAAGTGCTAATTTTACCAGATCCTCAGCAACACTGTTACCATTTATTTTCCCTTTTTAAAATAAAATCCTTCCTGTGCTAACCAAAACCCCTATGTTAAATTCACATGTATATTTTCAGAATCTTCCTAGTGTTGGTTTCTCCTGACTCCTTTCCAATTCTGGTTAACTCATCTTTACTTCTTTGTTCTTTTTTTTTAAGGAAACAACTTCAGTTTTTTAATCTTTTTAAAAAAAATATTGTGGTAACATAAAAAATTTGCTGTTTTAACCATTTGTAACTGAGTCAGTGATATTTATATTCACAGAATTGTGCAGCTACCACCACTATTTCCAACACTATTTCATCATTCCATAGAGTAGCCATTTCCCCTTCCACTCAGCCACTTGATAACCTTTATTCTATTTTCTGTCTCTCAGAATTTGCCTGGTCTATATATATAAGTGGAATCATACAATATTTGTCCTTTTGTGTCTAATATATTTCACTTAGCATGTTTTGAAGGTTTATCTGTGTTTTATAGCATGTACCAGAGCATCATTCTTTTTTGTGGTTGACTATCTTTCCAGTGTGTATACAGACCTCGTTTTGTTTATCCATGTTTATTTGTTAGCGGACATTTGGGTTGTTTCCACTTTTTGTCTGTTGTGAGTAATGTTACACTGAACATTGGCACACATATATATTTGTTTGAGTCTCTGATTTCAGTTCTTTTGGCTATATACCTAGGAGTAGAATTGCTGGATTATATGGTAATTTTAGGGTTCGCTCTTTGAGGAACCATCAAACTTTTCCAGAACAGCACATCATTTTGCATTCCTACCAGCATTATACAAATAAGTTCTAGTTTTGCCATTCTCATCACTTTTTCACCAATCTGAGAATGACTGTGAAGCACTGGAAGTGTTGATTTAGGGGTTACAAATAAATTATAGTGAGCAAGCCCGTGGGCAAATATGAAATCTGTGAAGTGAGGATTTACTATATCTTGATGCAAATTGTATATACTGAATATAACACAAATACATATATAGTGTACACCTAGGTTTTTACATTTCTAGGTGCTTTTATCAAATTGAGGTGATTACAGCTGTTACAGTGAGAAAACAATAACAGGTTATCACTTTTTAAAAATAAGGTGAGCTTATTTTAACGTTCTAACATGTACATGAAATACATGTATATGTTAGAATTTTTTTAGTAGTATCGTTTGTGTTTTAACCAAAGGTTAGCTTAAATTGTGTTCCTTCTTTCAAATTTCTAATGCTTTTTAAAAGATTTTTTTAAATAATAAATCTTATATAGTACCCATCTTTAGTCTGTTGTACCAGTATGTCTTGATAGCTACTCAGATAGCAGCTTTAACTACAAAGTTTTAAGGTTCATTTGGAGAAAAAAAGGAATTTTTTTTTAATGAATTTTTGCTTATTTTAGATTTTGTCTAAATTTTAATGCAAATCTCTTTCTTCAACTTGAGATTTACCTTATGTTACGGATAACAAACTCTTAAGACCCATAGGTCTTAGGCAGGTAACATAAGGGAATAAAGACTGCTGGAATGAGAAACTTAATTATTAATCTTTCTATTAGAAAAGACGGGGATATTCAGCGTGACCAGTTATTGCCACATGCCAGGTACCACATCTTCCAGGTTTTAAAAAAGGTCTGGAGTATGGATTTTTATATAGAAGTATCCAAATTTGTAAATCTTGGCAGCTAGTTTAAAAATTTATAAGCAGTACACAGGATGGACCACTTCTGTTCAGGCCCCATGGAACACACATGAATGCAGCAGAATGTGACCTGGGCTCTACCTGTTTAAAATGCTAAGGCTGAAAAAGTACTGTTATTAAACTCAAATTGGTGCAATGTTTTGGTAAGTTATGGTATACCCAGATAGTAGAACATTGTACAATTATGGATATTCAATAAGAACCCAATTACATGCAAGAAACATGGATGGATAGATGTAACAACAAAACATCAACTCTAATTTCATGTATGTTTTCAATAATGTATAGGTATTTCAGAACAAAATTTTGAAAATGCATTATGTCAGAAGCATCTTGTATTCGATTCTATTTAAGGTTAAGGTAAATAAGATTCTATTATGTTAATGTATGTATGAATTCTTGTTTTCTACATTGTTTCCAATGCAGTTATTTTCTTTTCCTTTTTAGAGATGCTAACTTTGTTTTTCTCTGACTTTGTTTTTATTCTTCTATCTGATGACTTCCAAAAGAACAACAAAACCAACTCCTCATTTAGATGGGTAAAGATTATTTTCATGTATTTTACAACCTATTTTAAATTAATATATTAAAATAAGAAACTTTTATTTAATCATCTTTACTTGACTCTTTAGGCATCATGTGGTTTTTGGGCAAGTGATTTCTGGTCAAGAAGTTGTGAGAGAAATAGAAAACCAGAAAACAGATGCAGCTAGCAAACCATTTGCTGAGGTGCGGATACTCAGTTGTGGAGAGCTAGTTCCAAAATCTAAAGGTAAAAGCAAGTATATATTTCTGCTGACTTTTATGTGCACAAAACAGTCTTAATTAGTTGGCATGAACTTTATACTAGAGTGAACGTAAGTATGACATTTTTGTGTATTTTGAATGTATTTTTGTATTTTTTAAATATGTTTTACCTTGCTCCATATTTTGTTCATTTACTGTGAAACTGATTAACTTTCCTTGTCAGTAATTTACAGTAATTTGTCCTTTTGCTTCCACATTGTTTTTTAGATTTTTTGAAAAGTGTAGTTGTCTAAATAGTGTGGTAAATATTCTTCTAGGAAGAGAGTGTGGGGAGGATGACAATTGAAGAGTTTAACATAAGCTAACAAACTTTATGGGAATAAATTATTTCCCCTTCATGCACTGCTTAGATTCATAAGCATCTGGTATGTTTGAGACACTTTTTTTTGCTTAAACAAGAACACTTCAAGTTAACACAACTGATAGTTTGCTATGATACTATCTGAAATTGTAAGAACTTGGTTTTAAGTTTTTAAAGTCTTTATATGAAATATCTAATTTCTATTGTTTATTACACATATTGAGTCTGATAAGTCTCAAAGTAATGAGGTGAGATTACCTTCAAATCTATATGGAAAGCAATAAAATATTGAAATGACCTATTCTTAATCATATAAGGAATAATAAATAATATCAGTACTTAGTTTTTCATGTTTAACAAATGTGAGAATCATCTAACCTTTCTTTTCTGATCCTCACGAGAACTATATAATACTGTTTCTCTCCATTTCACAGATACGGTCAAGGAAATTGTTACTTACCACATCAGGGAACTGGACCCAAGTTTGCAGGCTCCAGATCTAAAGCTTTGTTAGGTGTTGCTAACTCATTAAAGTCTTTAATATTCCTTTCACAATTGCCATAAGTAGAGCATTCTGTTCTCAAGTTTAAGTATACTGATGTGCTCTGTAATATGTACATTTCATTTTGCTTTAATATAAAAAGACCCACAATGTTTCTGGAGGAAGATCCCCCCTCACACACACAGATGCACACAGACAGGGTTTGTGAGATCTTAGTTCCCCAGCCAGGGATCAAACCTAGGCCCATAGCAGTGAAAGTATCAAGTCCTAACCACTGGACTGCCAGAGAAATCCCTGAAGAAGACTTATTTTTAATTTTCTTTCTGTGTTTCACTTTGATTCAAATTATTTCATCTCTGTATGTCAAATATATACCTTGTAATCCTTTGCAGGAATATTGCTGCAGCTCATACTGGGGCTGTTCATGAGTCTGGCTAAGTGTCCTTATTTACAAATAATAGTTATAATGCATACCTGTGTTCGAGGTGATTCAGAAAGAATGAGTGTTGTTGAGTATCTTACCTTTTTTAAAAAACATTAAAGCTAAAAAGCAATCTATATTAAACTTAGCAAATTTTAGACCCTGAATCTTGCCATTTTATTCTTCAAAGTATTGTTGGTACAATTAGAATATTTTGGTTTAAGGCATTTCTTCCCATATCATCTAGAAAATCTTCATATTTTATTTTGTACTTAATTGTTTTTTGGCTTTTTTCTTGTGTTTTATAATTTTTAAGGATCTTGTGTTAGGATCTATTCTCTGCTTATAACAGTTAAGAATGCTGTGTGGTTACGTATTTAGAAAGAGATTGAGGTAATTAAAAAGCTTACATCTTAAACCATAAAAGTTATCACAGACTCTAATACATTTGGTGTAAAATTCTTTTTGGTATTAACTGGTCAGTGTTTAAATATTTGCTGAATGGATGAGAAGGTGAATGAATGTCACTGTTGATATATTATTATGTTTTTGTCATGTATTTTCACCTGAATTGATAAATACTAATTTTGCCCGTGCCATTGTGGCCAGGAAGTTGTGCTGAAAGTTGGTGTAGTGTTCTAGTGTGTGTTCCTCAGACTCATGCTGAGGAAGCATATCTTGCCCTGATCCATTTCATCAATTGAGGAAAACCTGTCCCTTTGTTAGTGTTTTACCGGGAGTTATTGAAAAGATCAGGTTTGTTTCAAACATACTGTCCATGCCTGCTCTGTTCTGGATCACACTGTGGAAGAAGGAAAAGAGCACAGTTTGGCACCTATTACCCTGCAGTCCTTCAGTTATCATTCAGAACACTGGTCAGAATGAATTTTGTCACGCTTCTGTATGTTTTTTTTTAGGCGTAGCTATGTCTTACATCCAGTTTATATTTGATGGCCTTCTTACAGTCTTAAATTGGAAATAGTCAAAAAGCTTTGGGTAGCACAGTGGTGTTCATTGTCATCATATTCAAAACCTTGTTTGAGGGATACACACCCCAATTTAAAATATATATATATAGAATTTTTTTTTCTTTTCTTTTTCTAACTTCCTTAAAGAAAACAAAAAGACTTCTGAAGAAATCTGATTGTCTGGGCCCACCTATATGTGGTCTTGGTGAGTCTAGGCAATCATCTTATGCCTTTGTACCTTTGCTGTTGTGAGATTGGAAATTCTACTTTTTCTGGCTATTTGAATGTGCCTGAGAAGGTTCAGAGTTAAGGGGAACATCCTTCCAACAGGTGCAGAGGGGGAACACTGGAGACTAACCAGAACTGCATCCCTGTAGAGGCTATCAAGGGGCAGAGTGGAGGACAGAACACAGACCACTGCTTTGATAAGAACACGTCCTGGTTTTTTAGAAGTTACCATGATCTCAGATCATGCTGGTCTCTTCAGAGTTCACTGCAGTTGTTAAAAGAGATATCCGTACACCTTTACCATGCAGTGTGAGATGGAACCAGTGATATATTACAGAGTACATAGAAACACAAGTGCTGAGTTATGGAAAATGGCAGTAAACAGTTCAGTGAGCAGAAATTTTGCATATATGTAATAGGAAACAGATTACCTGGCATTACAAAAAGAAAAGCACAATAGAGGAAGCAGCTGGTGGATCTTGTTCTTAGGAAACAGTGGAAAGGATCAGAGACTCATTTGTATGGTGACAGGATCCCATTTTAGTGTCCTTATTCTGGAATTAAGAGCCATGGTGATGGCACTTTTCATGGAAAATAGTGGGATATTAAACTTAGAAACTGTTGAGAGGGGAGACACAGTAATTTTGAAATGAAAAGAGGGTTATTTTAGGTATAATTCCATTCTTTACTTCAAACCTTATTTTGATGATGGCCTGGAAAGTTTCTTCAATATAAAGGTTTTATGTGAAATTCATTGGTATAAAATTTATAGCTCTCAAAAAACTAGTAAAACAACATTTTCTTACCTTACATTTTTATAAGTAAAACGTTCTGGAAACTTGTCTTTTCACCTTAACATCATACTAGTAAAGTCAGTATCTGGTAATGTTATATACCACACCCTACCAAGAGTTTAAAAGTGTTGCTCTTTGTAATTCCTTTTTATCCATTATGACGCTTAATGATTCTTAACTTGCATTGTGTTTTGCTTTCAGTACTATTTCATTTTATTTTAGGGATAGTTATATGCTTATAAACGATGCTTTGAAATAGATTTTATTTAAGTGGTTAGACAGGAAGTAGGTTTTTGGGTTTTTTGGAGAATGTGGTGACAACTGTTGTCAGACTTGAGAGTTTTAAATTTTCTTCCATTTTAAAAGTTAATACATTTTGTTCAAAATTTAGAAAGCATAAAACTGTAGTCATTGAAAAGCCTTTTCTCATATCTATCCATATCTCAGGCAGATTATATTGCCCTAAAAATAGTTATGAATCTCCTTCTGATCTTCTATACTGCTGTGATATTTTGCTTTTCTCAAATGCTTACATGAAAAGTGATGTGAAAATGAAATAATGGTTTCTTAAATGTATTTAATACATTTAGAGGGCTTTCCTGGTGGCTCAGACAGTAAAGAATCTTCCTGCAATGCAGGAGATCGGGGTTTGATCCCTGGGTTGGGAAGATCCCTTAGAGAAGGGGGTGGCAGAGAACTCTATGGACAGAGGAGACTGGCGGGCCACAGTCCATGGGGTCGCAAAGAGGTGGATGCAGGTGAGCAGCTAACACTTGCATTCTCAATACATTTAATAGGGAGACTGGGCTTGCTTTTTAAGAAATCAACTGCAGTGTATTTTCTCTGGAAAAAATCACAATGTAAAATAAATATGGATTGGAGCTGGTGAATAAAGCTTTGTTAATCATGGGGTAAAGCATGACTATGTTTTGTCAAGTAATTTTAACAGCTATATTTTGTGCTTGTTGTTGTTTAGTCACTAAGCTGTGTTCAGCTTTTTGCGACCCCGTGGAGTTTAGCCTGCCAGGCTCTTCTGTCCATTGAGATTTCCCGGGCAAGAATACTGGAGTGGGTTGCCATTTCCTTCTCCTGGGGATCCTCCCGACCCAGAGATTGAACCCATGTCTCCTGCATTGGCAGGCAGGTTCCTTACCACTGAGCGCCAGGGAAGCCCCTTCTGTGCTTATGTGAAATAGTTTTACTTTGCCTGCATATTATATAGTCCCAGATATTTTTATTTAGAGTTTCTCATATTCATTATGAATTTATTTCCTTCCTTAAGTTTCTTTAACTTTTATTCTCCCCGCTAGTCCCCATACCTCAGGTTTTTAGTATATACAAGTAGGTTTTTCAGTTCGCATACCCACTCTGCCTCACCAGCAGCAATGGTCTTAGGATGAGATTAACAGTTGGATTCATGAGACAAGATAGGCTTCACTCAGCACTAAGCTTATTTGTCATTGTGAAAGGATATAGGGCAGGAAACAGCACAGCTTGAACAGGGGCGTCATAGTGGAGATCTCTGGTTCTAGGCAGAGCTTGCATATGTCCCGGGCATCTCATGCTTAATATTAATAGGTTTATGGTCCTGAGAAGCATGATGGGATGAGAAAAGACTACCTTAGTTTAATGAAGCTTTTACCTCTGCTATCCCTTAAGCATTTGTACCTAGTTGCCATTCTCCAGTGCAGCAGCATCTCATCAGTACTAGAAAAACAGTCTTGATGGTGAATCACAAACCCTTGGTCAGGTGTACAGTAACTTAGCCAGATTCTCATTTATCTCTACAACTCAGTGCACTCCTATAAATTCTGAGTTAAGAGTTTCAAGAGTCCCCAGCAATATCAGCAGAGCCCTAGAACTCCCCTGGTGGTCCAGTGGTTAAGACTCCATGCTCCCAATGCAGGGAGTATGAGTTTGATCCTGGTCAAGGAGCTAAAATCCCATATGCCACACAGCATGGCAAAAACAACAACAACAAAATAAATCAGTAGATCTCAGCCCTGTTCAGCAAAGCCACTCAGCTGACCTTTAGATTTGTGAGAAATAATAAATAATTGTTCTTTTAAGCCACTAAATTCATTAAAGAAAAAAAAAAAGTTTCAAGAATCATTTGATCAAGTGCCAAATCCTCAGGTGTTCCTGAGGGGGGAACACAGAAAGGTTACAAACGAACTGTGAACCCTTTCAGTTAAGGTCAGTAAACAGACAGCCAATAGTCAGTCCCAAAGATAAATTTTTTGTCCTCTTTGATTTTTTAAATTATGGAAAATACTAACATTTACTAGAATGGTTGAAATAGTATAACAAATTACCATGTTCATTACCCAGCTTTACCAATTAATTTATGACCAATCTCATGTTTCCTATCCTTGGCCACTTTTCCATTTCCTGTTTGGAGCAAATTCTAAAAATAATGTTTTTATTGATAAGTTTTTCACTGTTTATTTCTAAAAGGTGACTTTTCTAAAAAGAAAAATAAGCATACCATAAGCATATGCAGGCATATACACGTATATTCCTAAATGTAAAAAATCTTAACAGTGTTCACATTTTTAAGTTTATAAATGTTAATTTTTTTGATGTTTGAGTTTGAATCCAAATCAGGTTCAAGCATTTGGTTTGGTCTTGTAATTTTTTGGTTTGTTTTTCATAGATTCTCCCACCGTTTCTTTTTATGTTTTCTTGAGATTTATTTGTTGAACAAGCTAGGTCATTTTACCTGTAGGGCTTCTTTCCTGTTGCACACACTGAACTTTACTGCTTGCATTGTTGTATTATGTAATGTGTTCCTTCTATGCTTCTATTTTATATAACTTCGTCCTTAGAGCTAGAAAATTGATCAGATGCTGTTTTGTTTTGTTGTGGCTGTGTGAGTCTTAATTGCCGCTCACGGACTTTCTCTCTTTGTGGGCGGGGCTCCTCTGTTGTGCCTAGGATTATCGCTGTGGCGGCTTCTCTTGTTGGGGAGCACAAGCTCGCGGCGCGTGGAGATCAGTAGTTGCAGCACACATGCTCCGTAGTTGCGACTCATGGGCCCTGAAGTGCTGGCTTAGAAGTTGTGGCCCATGGGCTTAGTTGCCACGTGGCATGTAGGGTCTTCCCAGAGTAGGGATCAAACCCACGTCCCCTGCTTTGGCAGAAGCATTCTCAACCACTGGGTCTCCAGAGAAACACCCCCTGCCCCTGTTTTAATTGGATAGTTCAATTCACGTCTTTAAGTCCACCATGGTTTGAATTAGAATACTTATAGGTGGCCAGGCTCTATCCAGTCTGTCATGTCTTTCCCCAATTCCTGATTAACTTCACTTATTTCTGTTAGTTTCCTAGTCCTTAAATCATTTGAGCTTGGTGACCCCTTTTGAAAATTAAAACTTTCTTTAACCCAAAATAAAATTTCAATTTGAAATTAACTTTTGGGGGGCTTCCCTGGGTCTTCATTGGGCTTTCTCTATATAATACAGCATGTGGGGGCTTCTCTTGTTGGGAGCACAGTCTCTAATCATTAGAGGGATGCTCAGGCATTGAATAAGCCCATTCCAATGGAATCGTGCTTCTTACCTTTCCACACTCATGCAAAGTATTTTTTCTATTACTTCTCTCCTACAGTTCTGTTTCCAATATTGATAATAAGAGGAAAAAGTTGAAAACTATAAGAATATTAGAATCTGAGATTCTTGAGTGTTATTTCTGTGCTTTAAAAAAATGTTATTCAACTAATTCCTGAAATTGACTTAGTTTTAGTGTTTTCACCTGTTAACTTTTCCAGAATTCTTTAGATATAGATATAACTCAGACCCATGAATCTGGTGGGTGTATGCAGTGTGCACATTATCAGTGATGCCCAACTCTGTGTGACCCCATGGACTGTAGCCCACCAGGCCCCTCTGTCCATGGGATTTTCCTGGCAAGAATACTGGATTGGGTTGCCATTTCCTTCTCCAGGGGATCTTCCTGACCCAGGGGTCGAACCCATGTCTCTGACGTCTCCTACTTTGACAGGCGGATTCTTTATCACTGAGCCACCTGGGAATCCCATGAATCTGAAGGTCTGGATTCTAATCTTGAGTCTTAACTCCTTTCCTGTACTGCTCAGGTCAAATAGCTGGATGAACTAAGTATTAAATACTGGACTTGGAGAATCTCCCCCCAAAAATCTAAATTTCCTCTTACAAAGTTTTTCTAAAGAGTGTTGACTGAACCATTTTGCTTTTTATTAAAGCTAAGAAAGAAGAAAAGAAAAGGCATAAATCATCTTCTTCCTCCTCATCATCATCCAGTGACTCAGATAGCTCAAGCGATTCTCAGTCCTCTTCTGATTCTTCTGATTCTGAAAGTGCGTCTGAAGAGAAATCAAAAAAAAGAAAGAAGAAACATAGGAAAAATTCTCGTAAACACAAGAAAGAGAAGAAGAAGCGAAAGAAAAGCAAGAAAAGGTCTTAATTTACTTTTACAGTACTGGCTTTGTATTCTAATTACCTTCTGTTTATATATAAACCTGTTGGGATATTGAATCAATTATATGGTACGTGAAAATATTAATACTTCATAGCGTGACGTTTAAGACCATTCTGATATTCTATAGTCTATAGATTAAATTTGGATACATTTCAGTTTTCAACAAAATCATTCAGTTCATTTTGTCTGAACTCAAAGACTTTTTTGATTAGATATGTTTGTATTTTATGGAAGGAATTTAAAATTAATAAGAATTATAGGAAACCAATGAGTATTTTCCTTTTTTTCCTCCTATGATAGCATAAAGCAAATTATGTCAGCATATTTACTTTTTCTGTTATGTCTGAAAAAAAATCTGTCTTTGTACTAAAGCTCATCTTCATAAGCCTGTTGCCTCTAAAGCAGTTTCTTTACATATATTTTAAAGTATTTTAAACTTATCAGTGCAGTGCACATGGAATATTTTGGTTCCATTTTAAAGGAAATTATTTTTTGAGAATGTGATAATAGATACATTTGGTTTTGGTTTTAGGTTGGTTTGTCAGAGGAACGAGTATTTTCCCCGTGTAACTGCATCTTTGGTCAGCAGTTGGGGACCGGATGATAGATGGATAGTATATTTACAAAGGAAAGAAAGGCCAACAATTGGAAAATTGAGGTGGGTACATAATAACCAAATGGAACTTGTTTGTGTATTTCTGTTAAGCGCATCTAGTGAAAGTGAGGCTGAAAATCTTGAAGCACAACCCCAGTCTACTGTCCGTCCAGAAGAAATCCCTCCAATACCTGAAAACAGATTCCTAATGAGAAAAAGTCCTCCAAAAGCTGATGAAAAGGAAAGGAAGAACAGGGAGAGAGAGAGAGAATGGTATGTCAATATGTTTATTTTCCAAAGGGCCCTACATTCTCTATCACAGAACCTTTCTTTAAAAAAAAAAAACACAGATTTTAAAATTTTAGATAAGATTTAATTGGTGACCTTGTCCTAAGATTAAAATTTTTTAATTGTATAGTGTTAGCAAAGCTCCTTTTTGCCAGTCTCACAGCTGAAAAGATAAATTGACTTAATTAAGACAGATTTTTAAATAAAAGTAACTTTTAAAAAAAGCACTGCAGATGGCAAAAAGGTATGTTAAGTGGCACTCCAGACAAATTCCATGTAAAACAAATGTTTTACTCTGTTATTTGTATACCTTAAATTTTTAAGCTTGTAAGAACCTTATGTTTCAGTTTGTCTGGTGGGAGAAAATGCTGTTTTCTTTGCCTGGTTTACAATATTGTGGTATTGAAAATTGATAGTATATTCAAGTACCTTGAAAATTTTTCTACATAATTCACATTATTAGAATTAGTAGTTCTGTTGGTTCTTTATGTATTGTTTTAATAATTATGTCCAAAAATAGGAAAAAAAGATGGATATCTTTCTCTTATTTATGATCAGAAATAACATAAAAGTGATAAAAATTACTCATTCCCCCTATACTTTCACAATACAGTAAAAATATAAAATAAATCTTGGTTGCTTGAATTGTGTTAATTTTGATGGATTGAATTGAGTTTACTCAACTGTTAGGAAAGGATGTTTCTAAGGAAGTAATATTAAGGAGAAAATATTTGAACTACTACTGCATTTTCAAATATAGCATACATGAATGTTGTTAGTGCTAATATTCATATTATTATTTGAAAATAAGTAATTTCCATTTTATATAAAGCATGATATTAAATATTTTTCTAATTCAGACCAAGTTATCTCTGTTTAATTCACATCAATTGCACTTATCCATAGTTTTATTACCAGTGAATAATTGCTGGTAGGATAATGAGGTACTTTAGAATAAGATAGCTTTAAAATTGTTCCCTGAATAGCATACAGCCTACTCCAAGTTTTTTCATGTTCCTTAGCACTATCAAGTTGACTTTATCTTCGTAAAGATTATGTAACAGTATGTCTCAACAGAACAACACAGTTGGCATTTGGGAACAGAATAGTTCTTCATCCTCATGCATTACAAGATTCTAGCATTCCTGACTTGTGGTCACTCAGTACCAATAGCACTTTCTCATCATTGACAGTTGTTAAAATGCTCCCCTACTTTCCCAAATACCTACTGAAATTGATAATGCTCCTTGTTGAGAACCACTGATTATATGTAAGATTTTATTAGTTTAGATTAATAGAGCTATGTTCTCCAGATGTATTTTTATTATATAATGTGTTTTAATTTTCCCTTTGCTTCCTTCTAGTAATCTACCTAACTCCCAGCCTCCTTCATACCAGAGACGACTTTTAGTTACTAGGTCTGGCAGGAAAATTAAAGGAAGAGGACCAAGGGTAGGTGATTATTTTCCCAGAAGTCCTGATAATATTGCATTTATCTTAAATCTTGGAGTGTTTAATATTTTTTTTCACATAAGTAGTTAAAATTTAGAGTAGATGTGAATATTGAATTGTATGTTCTCTTTTTATAGTCCGTCTTTGTGTTGGTTCTTCTACGCTGAAAGTCCATGAGATGTTAATGGATTTTACATGTACGGTATAAAATGAGATTGAGGTTTTTCTTGTGCCTCTTTGTTACTTCCTGACCACTGTGTGTCTGTTCTTGTTAAAAATTAATCCTATTCTTACATTTCATACTCTCTTTTCTTCACTGGATTGTCCTCTTCAGAATTTAAATATCTTCTTATGTTTGCAACATTTTAACAAACAAGGCTATACTTAGTATATTATTTATTCACTTCCTGCTTGTTCCTTAGTCATTTCAGGTTGTCTTCTGCCATTCTTCTGAAAACGGCACTTGCTTTATAGTCAGTTCCATGTCACAAAATCCAGTGGATCCTTCAGTCTTTGTCTTTGTTAATCTCCCTCCTTATAATACTCTTTCTCCTTTGCTTCCATTGTCTTTTCTTCCTGTCTCTGGCTAGTCTATCTTAAATTTCCAATGCCAGTTCATACTACTCTGCCTGATCTTTAAATATTGTAGTACCTCAGAGTGCTAACTATTCTCACTCTGTATTTGCTTCTTGGGCAGTTTGACTGCCCAAATCACACTCGTAATTTCACTGGGTACCTGTGCACTGAAAACTCAGTTTTTCATCTGCTTTTCTGGTACCAAAGCCTTATTTGATGACCATTTAGATGCCTGGTGGACACTTCAAACTCAGCATATACAGTGTTGAGCATAAGCACTCTTCTTCAGGCCTGACCCTCCTTTAGGTTCATGGTCTCAGTGATAAACACCTCCACTTGTGCAGTTACTTAAACCTGAAGCCCAAGAATCATTTTATTTCTCATCTTTCTTTTCTACCATTTATAACATCTGTTGCCAAATCCTGTTAGTTCAACCTCTCAGATACACTGAAATCCATCTACTTCTCTCAAGTTCCACTCCTACCATCTTAGTTCGATTCACTATTATATAGTCTCTGAACTATAAATGGCTTCCTAACTGGTCTCATGGCAGTTCTCAAACTTTTTTGTCTTAGGACCTCTTTACAGTCTTAAAAATGATGGAAGATACAAAAGAGCTTTTGTTGATGTGGGTTATAGCTGTCAGTATTTACTCTTTTAGAACTTAAACCCAGGAATTCTTTAAAACAAGAGTATATAAGCACACATTTCATTAGCAGTGGGAACAGATATCAAACCTTGTCATGCCTCAATGATTTCCTACCTGAAAATTGGGAGAGTTTAGTTATTTTAGAGGGCATGGAAATATCAGACATTTTTTGAAACCTAAAAATATATACACTTTAGCAACTGTTGTAATGCTTTCATATTTTTATATGTTAATTTTTTTCCCCTCTATTTTTTTAAAGCGTTATCGAACTCCTTCTAGATCCAGATCAAGGGATCGTTTCAGACGTAGTGAGACTCCTCCACATTGGAGGCAGGAGATGCAGAGAGCTCAGAGAATGAGAGTATCAACTGGCGAAAGATGGATTAAAGGGGATAAGTAAGGTTTAACTCTTATTTCAGATGTGCTAATTGGTATTTTTTAACTATTTTAAATTATTTGATTTAGAGTCATTTTAGTTGTTTCTGAAAATCTTAAGGAAAATAGAATATCATTTCAGCTAATAAAGTTTCCCCAAAACTTTTTTTTCTTCATTTTTTAGGAGTGAGTTAAATGAAATAAAAGAAAATCAAAGAAGCCCAGTTAGAGTAAAAGAGAAAAAATTAACTGATCATAGGCATGTGTCTGAGAGTCCAAACAGGAAAAGTGAAAAGGAAAAGAAAGTTAAAGACCATAAATCTAACAGCAAAGAAAGAGAAATCAGAAGAAATTCAGAAAAAGATGACAAATATAAGAACAAGGTAAAGAAAAGGGCCAAATCAAAAAGTAGGAGTAAGAGCAAAGAGAAATCCAAGAGTAAGGACAGAGACCCAAAGCATAACAGACATGAAGAAAAGAGGGTGAAGTCAAGGAGTGAAGAAAGGGATCATGAGAATGTGAAAGAAAAAGAAAAGCCTGATTCTAAAGGAAAAGATCAGGAGAGGAGTAGAAGTAAAGAGAAGTCTAAACAGTCAGAATCCAAAAGCAATGAGCACGATCATAATAAAAGTAAGGACAAAGACAGACGTGCACAGTCTAGGAGTAGAGAACGTGATGTAACTAAAGGCAAACACAGTTACAACAGTAGAACAAAGGAACGAAGCAGAAGTAGGGACAGGAGCAGAAGGGTGCGCTCTAGAAGCCATGACCGAGATCGCAGCAGAAGCAAGGAGTATCATAGATACAAAGAACAAGAGTACAGGAGAAGAGGAAGGTCACGGAGCCGAGAGAGAAGAGCAACGCCAGGAAGATCAAGAAGTAAAGATAGGAGGAGAAGGAGGAGAGATTCACGGAGCTCGGAGAGAGAAGAAAGTCAAAGCAGAAACAGGGAAAAATACAGAAACCAAGAAAGTAGAAGTTCACACAGAAAAGAGAATTCTGAGGGTGAGAAGAGAATGTACTCTAAAAATCGTGATCATAGTAGTTCAAATAATAATAGGGAAAAAAAGGCAGACAGAGATCAAAGTCCATTCTCAAAAGTGAAACAAAGTAGTCAGGACAATGAATTAAAATTCTCCACTTTGAAAAATAAGGAGGATGAGAAGGCCAGATCCTCAGTGGAAAAAGAAAACCAAAAATCAAAGGGTCAAGAAAATGACCATGCACATGATAAAAATAAAAAATTTGATCATGAATCAAGCCCTGGAACAGATGAAGACAAAAGTGGATGAGTGAGTTATATAAACTTATTTCCATTCTGTCTCAGATTTTAAGTTTTAGAGACTTGCTGATGATCTTCCTTGTTTTTTCTTTTCATTGTTTTGAGGTTGTTTGTCCTTTTTTTTTCTCAATGTGGACTTTATTGAGTTGATCTTTTGATAATCTGCAGCCTGGATAATTTGTACTGCTAAAGTTTTAATAAACTTGAAATGAGAAAAACAGTTTGGTGTAATACTGTGTGCTGTGTTTAACTATTTCATGTACGCATTTTTGTGTTGCAACAATCAGCCAGTAGCAAACATGCTCTTCTTTACCCTAATTTGTGTGATCGGCCAGTTGGAAAGAAGGATAACTGATTGTTGGAATACATTATTATAGAAGCTTGTGTTTCTCATGATTAAAGTAACCTTAGAAGCCACTTGGTAGAAGAAATCTTATATAGATTTTTCGATTGCATTTATAATAGAGGCTTGCAGCAGCAGCTTTTAATTATGCAGAAGTGGGACCCTAATAACTTGAGATATTAAGTCATCACTTTTGATTTTATAGTAATTTGTGCTTTAAAATATTTATATTGCACTTCCTATGTTATTCTTTATAGAGCTACCAGTAGCTGGTTTCTTATTTTTCCTGTTTTATTTATCAACTGTCTGTAGATATAGTTGAGTATTTTTTTTTCAGTTGATGTACTGTTTGGGCTTGAATTGCTTGTTATACAGCATCTAATAAGAACTATACCTTGAAGATCAGGTTGTAATTCTCAATTCTGTGTTGCTTTTGGTCTGAAGAGATGAAACTTGCTTTTGGCGAATGTTCTGTTATTGTCATTGCCCTTCTCTAAAATGAAAAAAAATACTTTCCTCACTAAAACATACCACTGTGCAGGTCTTTGTTAGACAAATTCTAAAAATTGTTGGTATTGACACACAAACTTACGAGATTTCTCTTTTTGGCCACTAACCTAGAATTGAGTGTTAACGTTGCATGGTTGTTGGGTGTTTTTTTTTTAAACTTGAACTGACCTCTCTAAATCTCGTAACTGAGTTTCAACTGGCAAAAAAATGCATCTCTTTTATCTATGTATCACAGGCTGTAGCATGTTTATGACTCTGATTTCTTTCTATTCAGGTGGCTTTATATCATTACTATTAATCATTATTTTAACTTGGCATGTATAACATTGCCACATAGAGTAGAAAGTGGCAAAATTTGATAGCTTACAGAGTTAAACACTAAAGATATTCAAAGTCCATTTAGAAGTTTGTGTATTGTATATTGCTATTTTAGTGAAGTGTGGCCTTTTATTCTGTAATTTCTCTTCTAAATAGAATACTGAACATCCAGTAAACACAAAACCTGCCTCATTTGAAAAGAAATTTCAGAATTCCAATTAGTAGTTGCCTTTAGAGTGTTTTATACTTTAATATTTGTCAGTATAGTATCAAATAGCTACTTACTTTTCCCTTATTTGATACTTATAGCTACTTATTACCAGGTAGCTCCTTGGTAAACCCAGTAGCTACTCATGCTATTTGTACTGTGCAAAGCAATGCTTATTAATATAATACTTCCCATTATTGATTAATACAGTAATGATACATTTGGCATTGTGGTAGCCACTTACATAATGAATAGGGTGATGATTATAAGATTGTTTGGATTATCATGAAACAAATATCCATATCAGGGTCTTACTGAATCTTTTTCCTAATGATAAAAGTAATAGATGTTTGTGATAATCCAGGGTGATTGATTCCCTAGAGATTTTGATCCACAAACCTTAGAGATAATTGAGTCCTGAGTCCCCAAGCTGTATAATGTGTTACATATTTTAAATCAGTTTTTGCTTGTCTTAAATTCAGTGAACTGCATTTAAAACGTCTTTGTTATAAACTATTTGAGCTTCAAGAAAGGTGCTGTTTAAGAAAGGATTTCTAATAATAACAACAAAAAAAGAAAATTCATGCTAATTAAAAATTACTTGTATGTTATCTGATCCCAGAACTTTATCTACTAAGAATTACAGATAAGTAACCATGGGGGGGAAACTAGTAATTACTTTAATATGCTATTTTGGTTATCAAAGAAGCAATTCCATGCTAAGCATTATTTCTAGACCTATAAAAACTGTTAGCTGTTTTTAAGTAAGGTATGGTGAAGGGGTTGAAGTGAAAGATGACAATCAGCTAGATTTTATTTTCAGAATGTAAATAACATTTAGAAAATGATCAAACAGCATTAACCATACATCTGCTTTTGCATCTGAATACTGCACTCATCAAGTAATCCTTTCATTACCTTTTTAATAGTTATGCAACCCTTACTTTTTACTTTGAACAACTCTTTTCCTAAAAGTCAACTATTTGTTTCCTGCCAAATTGATACTATAGTTACTTTGAGGTAAATTGTAAACTCAAACATCTTTAAGCGGATTTAAATCCATTTAAAGATTTTTAGTTTGTTTTTATTGCCTGATTGGCAATACCTGAGAAATGAGAAATTTTTTAAGATTATTTCCTGTGAATTCTTTTTTCTGTGTAAATCATCTGCCACAGAATTGACACTGCAGAGAGATTAATGTTAATGAGCTTGTAGGGAAGATACCAGGTTGCTTTAAAACATTTAAAAACTACTCCATAGTTGAGAGTTCATAGATCATGATAGTTTCTAAGTTTCTTAATCAGATCCCTCACAGAAATTTCAAAGAATTTGTCTTATAAAAATATATCTTTGCACAAATGTAATATTAACTCACCTGAGCTTTGCCTAATGGCCTTTGATTCTTGTGCCCAGTAGAAAATATGAAACTGAAAAGTAAAAATTTCTTTAATATTGGGGATAGGAATACATTGGTGTTCTGGTATTTTGAGTAATAATATTACTTGGGAGTTCTAATTTGTTTTCAAGTTAGTGAGTGAAACAAATTAGTATAGTTTTTAGTAGTTGATTTTGCTTTACTATTGGTGGCAGTTTTTTTTTTGTAATCACACTTTGAACTTTTATAGTAGATGTCTATAGAAACTTATTCCCTTTACCTTCAATAGAAGGTACTTTAAATATACACCATATTGTTACAGAGAAATATGAAATGGGCTGTTTTTCTGTCTCCTTTTGGTTGTATATACTGTAATTGTTCAGTTTGGTATTCCTACATTTACTGTTGAATAGACTCCCCAAGAGTAGTATGTTTTAATCTGTTTATTGTGAAAAGATCTGTTTTGCTACAAATTCTTGTTTAAAAAATAAACTCCAGAAGTGTAACATTGGCTAATAGTGACTTCCCAATTGTCTTTAAAGGATTGAGGCAAATGTAAATTGTGGCCTGTGTTGTGACACAAGTAAATATGAAAGGAAAAGAAAAATCACAAATTTATAGAAATTTCATCAGGAAGATTGAATAAGGGAGTTGTTGAGGGCTTTTGTTTGTTTTTATGTACGGGGGCGGGAGGGGGGGAATGGTGGAACTGATTTGTGTGTTTCCCCACCACCACCTTTTTTGCAAGCAAGTAACCTATGTTTACCAAAAGCACATGCTGTATATTTTGTTTCCCCCTTTGTGTGTTTATAGTATTTTGAAGGATAAATTAATTGGGTTATTTGTATGTGAGGATGTTAAAAGCTGTGGCTGCTCTCTTTGTGGAAGGGAAAAACAAATGAGGTTAAAATGCACTTCTTTTCCTAGCTCAAAAGTCACTGTGATGTATATTTTTTTAATGAAATTTAGGAATAAAACTTGTTGCAGTTGTATAATTAGTTTCAAAATGCTGCTTCTCTTATCATTAGTCTAGTAACTGTTAAACTGTTTTATGCAAACTGCATTTTACAGAATTTAAACTGAAACTGTATCAACTTTTATAGTTAAACATTGTATTAAATAAACTATACTATCAAATGGTTTGTTTTGTATTTTTTAAATTATTGATTGTATTAGTTTATTTGGACTTTTATTTCATTATTAGCTTTTAATAAAAATAATCATTTAATACTTTTATTTTACCCATAAGAATACAGAAATTGTATTGGGGAAAAACTGAGCAGAGTTAACAGTGCTGAACTTCTTTTAAGAATTGAGCCTGCAGTGACAGTTTCCGGTTTAAGGATAAGTTTTAGTGGAATTGTTTAATCATAATGCTTCATGTTGCAAGGTGTCTTTTGCCTCAGCAAACTTTTAAGGTTATACATGGAATTACTATCTACTGGAATGCTACCATTAGCTTTTTAATTCCTCCAAATTTCTCAGCAGTGGGAACATTGTATTATATCCTGTGCCTGCTAGTTTTAATATAACACTTACCATTATAAAGCCATATAAACGTTAACTAAGTTTTATAAAACATACTGTCTAGTGTTTTTTTTTTTAATTTAAATTAGACATCTTTAGGGAAAATGAACCTAGTTAACTTGAGAGTCACTGAACATATATATGCTTAAATAAAAACATTTTGACCATTCAGTGATTTATATGTGTTAGTAGGTGAATATTATTAAATTCTCAAATTCTGGAGTGTTTTTAAATGTTTTATTAAGCCAGGAGAATATGTAAAATGTGAGTGTGTCATATGGGCTGTACAGATTTATGTATTAAAATACTTTTAGTTTCAATTTGTGTTTTCTAGTTTCATTGCTTTCTAGGTTTCTTTCCTAAACATACTTCCTAATATAATACTGTATTTCTTTTTAAGTAGTGCTGATTCATAATTTTTACACCTGCCCCACCCCCAAGACCTCTCAATAACCCAAAATGTTTTAGTTCAAATTTACATCTTTGCCACAAGTTTTAGCTGTGCTTTATCAAATTAGTGGCTTAGAACAGTTGTGCACTAATAGGTACAGATAACAGGGTTTCCATTTGGAACAATGAAAAACTTCTGGAACTAGATAAATGGTAATGGTTGTACAATATTATGAATATACTTAATGCCACTGAATATTCTTAAATAGTTAAAATTACACATTATTTTGTGTATATCTTTTATCAGAATAAAAAAGAGAATCTGACTTAATCTTGAGC